AGTAAGCCAACTGTAAAAATAGCAAGAGCTAGGTGTTAGTGATCCTGTAATTTTTTAAAATATGTGCAGCATCAGGCACCACGGTTTAGCAAGAAACAAGCTGAGGACATCCAAGGAGGTATGCCTGGTCAGCTCGAGTCGAGTAGGGACTCGTGATAGACGCAATGGAAGAATGGTTAGGAGTTAGAGGGTTAGTTATCATACTGAAGTTAATTTCTGGATAGTCATTCACGGGGACGTAGACCTTCTCCTGGGTCTTGGTGGGGCGTCTGTAGTCAGAAGGCGGGTTGTAGTTAGGGATAGTCTTGATGGCCTTCTCGACCAGTTTATGACGTTCATCCTCGAGACGTTTGCGATAACGGTACTCGCGAGTGTTCACACGTCTTCCGAAGTTGTCGTACTGGGGAGGTGGCGAGGGAGATCTGTTGTTAAAGTCAGTATACAAGTAAGCTTAAATTACAAAGGATGCAACCGCGTACCTGTCACCATCGGCAGGGACCACATCGTTGATCCGAAGCTTCTGGCTAATTTCCTCAATACGAAGGTGAAGTGTGTAAGCTTCGAGCTGCTCGCTAGTGAAGTTCGCCATGATCATAGTCGGCAGGCCCATAAGACCAGCCGCCTTGTTCTCTTGCTGGTCACCCCAGCGGTTGCGCTTCTTGCGTCTCTTGCCATCGCCATCGGTGTTCAGGGGACCTGGATCGGCTTTGAATTTAAAGTCAGTCTTGATTTGTTTTCAAATTTTCACTTGGGATGAAACATACCCCGAACAGGGCTACGTCCACGCTTTGGGCCATCGGGACCCATAGACGAAGAGGGAATAGAAGAAGGGGTCGCAGTGCGACTTTCTTCCTCTCCATCCTCGCCGCCCATGCGTCGCCGGCCAAGCGGAATGTTATTGGAGCCAGTTATTCCCTGGTTGCGCCAAGCCATGACTGCTTTGGATAAGAAAAAGGTGAGAAGTAAGTGATACAGATTAAAGAAACAGCTACGGGAGTTCAAGAGGCAATTATTGGCACGTGATTTCTGCAAAATCTCATCTAGTAGGCGGTGGCGATGCTATTCCCGGATTTATATATATCCGGCCTGAACCCTAAATTTCAAGGTTGCAGCCCGGATGATCCGGATGATCATTGGTCCGCGCACTGGATTGTACTGTACAGTCAGTGGACATACAGCTATGTTTTTCATCCCTTGGCCCTGGGCACACCCCTATGATTATATAACATACTGCCAGTCAGAAACCTCCATAAATTCAAATATAGTATGGCACGTCTCACTGCTTTAGGTAGGCGGTATGTGTTTGTCCTTGCGGTGGGCGGGGTGGGGCTATAGGGGGTGTAGAAACTTATGTCCAGTCACTGTATGTACTCCTCATCATTCAGAACCCTGGGTAATCAAGCAAGGTCTTAGCTGCTATTTGAGGCCACGAGTCGGTTAAGTTGTGTCTGTGAGAAGATTTCATACCCCACGCCATTGTATTCAAGGAATGGGTATGCAGATGCTGGCCTCAACAGGCCAGAGTTCAAGTTAAAAAACGGGTGGTAACACTGTACATTCTGCTATCTCCATAGTTTAGTGCTATGGAGAGGGAATAGGGAATATGGGAATACATGGGAGCTATCACATCCGCGTGGAACCTTGGAAGTCTAGGTGATCCTATCAACAAGATCTTCCCGTCAATCTAACGGCCTGCAATCCGGCGTATACGTATGTCCTATGTGAAGTGTACCACAACACCAACGAACTGATAAAAATTTTTGAATCTTATGGTCTCTTAATTCAAATTTCGATTCAACTTATTTGCTGTGCTATTCGACTGTTATCAATGCCTTAGCAATTCTTCTTTAAGCTTTGGCTTTGGCATCGGCCTGCATCCCCTGTTGAATCCAAGCCCTGGCTTCAGCGGCCTGCTTATCAACAGCCGCCTTATCCTTGATGAGTTCTTTAATGGTATGAGGGGCAGGAACATGACGACCCTTCTCAGTACCCGGTCGCTGTGCCATGAGCTCCTCCCAAGCCTTAACATTTGGGAACTCGTCAATATCGATACCGGCCCATCCGGCAGCAGCTATCCATCCCCAGTGTGAGATGTCGGCAATAGAAACATGGTCACCGACAATATAACCAGATTTGGACTCAGCGAGGTGCTTGTCCAAAACACCATACAGTCGGCGTGACTCATTGACGTATCGGTTCACACCGTACTCAATGCGCTCAGGCGCGTACCGCGAGAAGTGGTTGGCTTGGCCTTGCATGGGTCCTAGGCCTGCATTCTGGAAGAACAGCCAGCTCTTCATCTCATAGTATTCCCGCGTGCCCTTAGGGAATGAGATCTTGTAATCCGTGTCGTACTGTTCTGTGAGGTATTCCAAAATGCTACCAGACTCAAATAGCCGGATCTCCTGACCATCACTGAAGGTGTCTGTCAAGGCAGGGATGCGGCCATTGGGGTTGATCTTTAGGAACCAGCTGTGCGACAGTTAGATCTGTTTGTGTAGGTATTGTAGAGATGCAAGCACATACTCTTCCTTTTGAGTGTTCTTCGAGATGTCAATCTTCTCGACCTTGTATGGTAGGCTATAATCTGTTAGGACAAAGCTTCAGGAGGTCAAGGAAGCTACTATACCCAAGCTCCTCTAGCGCAATAGAGATTTTGATCCCATTAGGGGTCTGGGTCGTGTAGAGGGTGATATTTGGCTGCGTCATATTGATAGAACAAGAAATTGGACTGAAGGGTAAACCTAAGATGATTGAAGAGGAAGTTGAATTATTGCTCTAACTCGAAGATATATCGATGGGTTTAAGTATGCGATGGCTGAGGTCATATTTAGTCTTCGGCTCCACCCCACTTTGTAGATTTATAAGCTCATGCAACTCGCGGAATGTTCTCCCGAGGTCTTCCCGAGCCGGAGTCGTTGAATAATCATATCGCATTGCCCAGGTGCCAACCCACGAACCCGGCTAGGTTGTACTTACTGGGATATAGTTCCGTTTTATGGTCTTGCTCTGTAGTATCAATGGATGTTAGACTTGCTAGCAATTGTAGTACCTCTCAGGTGGAGCAGACTCCCTGTTATCTTTATTATTTTTATTTAACAGATGCACTGGACTGCTGACAAAGCCTGGGGAAGAGTGGATCTCCAGGATTAGAATGACGGGTGTTACGAATATCCATGAAACCTGATGTTAGGAGATGTCTCTGTAGAGATCACAAACTATTCTAGAGTCTACAGCTAGGCTAATCAGAACAAAGGCGTGACGTATTAAAGTTGGCGCCTGCACTGTTTTTCCTACTCCTCACAGCCTTCGTGATGACTGGCCTGCTGTCCCAATATGTGCCTGGGTTTTAACATTGACCCCTCCATTTCACAACACGAAGACAGTTCCGTAGATCTTGCGCCGAAAGATCCATATTTCGGCTTTAGACTTCATGGGCTTCTGCTCATCTCTAGAAACTCTCAATCCCTGATTCTCCCAAAAACGAGGTTGAAGTACCCGCCTACGCGGTTAGCACCTCTCTATTCGACGTATACCTCTATACGTGCCTCACTATTCGATGCACTCTAATAATCCGCACATACACGGTTAGTAATTCTCTTTGAGGCGCACCTCACCTTAATGATCCGCTTCTCGACGCGGTTAGTGCCTCTCACTCAACAAACCCTAGCCCTTTAATAGTCTACTTCTTTATACTGTCGATTGACTTTCTTCCCCGCGTTTTTGAGTAGCTGCCCCGCTTTATACGTGGTAAAATGCCTTCTTCAACTACCTTCGCTCCGGCCCTAGCCCTAAAGACTAGCGCCGTTTTCACTGGCGATCCCGTTATACGACACAACAACATTTTCACCAACTAGATTCTAAAAACTAGATTTTTAATTCGAACGCTTTAGCTCTATAGTTTCATGTTCGTGGGGGGTTCGTGGGGGTCTTGTGGGGGGCTGTCACACTTCTAGTTCTTAACTTAGTCTCTTCAACTTTTCACTGTCATCTGACATTGAATTTTGCACATAAACGTTTCAATAGATCTTGCTAACAGCTTTGATAAAAGTACGTTAAATGCTAGTGCCCTTCTACTGCCGGATTGTGGCCTATGAGGAAACCAAATTAAGAACTGTGAAGTTTGCCAAGAAGAAATAATAGTGAAAAAAAAAGAACACTGCTACGTGTTAGAAACGAACAGCGATGGCGAAGAGAGAAAATGGCTGGAGTAGCATTGATAGATGGGCCAATGCTGCGCCAGACATAGGGAGGGATACCCAAATTGGGGTAGTGGGGTACGTATACAACATTCCAAGGACTCAGCACCATACATGGTGTCTATTGAAGTACATGCATTTTTCATTTCACAAGATGTGGTAAATAATTGTGCCAAGATTAACATACTCTAGTGCCAGCCGATTGTGATCTGGATTACCAGGCAGTCATATAACATGCATCAAAAATCACCCGAAGTTTAGCAGGGGCAAAAAGAGATTGATGTGAGCGTGGCTGGTTGCGCGCGAAAAAAACATTTCATATAAGCTTTGGATTTGTATCTAGGGAATAATTCTGTTTTTAGATTAGCTTAAATGCTTAACATCTTGTGATTGGCTAACTTTACTTCGTTCCAAGGTTGTATGTGGGTCTTCTCTATACGCGTATCCGCAATCCGATCATCTAAAAAGTAAAAAAAGATTCTTCTATGTTGAGGATGTCGAAAATTTTCGACTTATAAAGGCGCTAAATCCTTTGGCTTGAGCTCTCTCAACTCACAATACCTCCTCCTTTCACCACGGGTCGATACAATTGCCAAACATGTCTCAACTCGTGTCTCGTGCCTACAAATTTTGGAACTATGCACCTTCGATACCAGCGGCTGTCATTTTCATGCTGCTATTCATGGTCCTAACGGGCCTTCATTGTTGGAAAATGTTTAGAGCCAGGACATGGTTTTGTATAGCATTTACCTTGGGCGGACTTTGTATGTGGACTCCCTTCCCTTGCATTCTTATCTTTCCATGCCCCGAAGACTAGACGCTGACCCGCATTTCAATCAAGTCCAGATCATTGGTTACATCGGCCGCTGCATGGCACACAGTAACACAACTACAATGGGACCGTACATTGTCGCCAACATGTTCATTCTGCTCAGTCCTACGCTCTTCGCCGCAACTATCTACATGACCCTTGGTCGAGTCATTCGTCGGGTTCGAGGAGAACACCTTTCTCCCATTCGGGTCTCACGTCTCACAAAAACATTTGTCTGGTTCGATGTGTTGTCCTTCGTTGTCCAGGGAAATTCCTCATCCCTCTCAGTTTTGGGATACCCCCAGTGGGGAAAAGTATGCGTTATTGCCGGTTTGGTAATTCAACTCATCTCGTTTTCCCTCTTCTGGGTGACAGCCATCAAGTTTGCAAAGCGCCTTCGTCACTCACCCACCCCCGAGTGTCTCAAGCCTGGTGTTCCCTGGCAACGAGCAATGCATATGCTATATGGTGTTAGTGCTCTCATTTTGCTCCGCTCTATTTTCCGGATCATTGAGTATGTCATGGACAATGATGGTTATCCTCTTAAGCATGAGTGGACATTGTATGTTTTTGATAGTTTGCCGATGGTGGCTGTCATGACTATCTTCTTTATTTGGTATCCTGACCAGATGAGCCTGGATGCTGATTCCGACGGAAACATCCCCCTTACACACAGTTACTCTGGAGTTTAAATTTCTTTTACATGAAGCGAGGCTCTATATATGTTATACGGTTTTTTACTTGGAGTTTTGGTTTCCTTTTGTTTATAGACTGTTTCTCTTGTTTGTTATAGAACAATTGCATTTTTCTACATTTAGCGCATGCAACAACTATTCTTATCTTTACTCCGTATACTATGGCATAATCAGCCAAAGTTTCTTCAATATTATACCATCCAATGTCTCCTGATTGAGGACTCTCCTCAATCGACTCCGTAGGGCCATCCAATTTAGGAGGGCCCACTTGCCCCACTTTAGCCTCGGGTTCGAATACGCGTATAGCTTTTTGCCTCGCTATCAACAGAGTGGAGTTTTATTATTATTATAGTTTACATCCACTAGTCTAAATCTCTTTGCCTTGAAATGCCGAAATAAACACGGACTGAGTGAATGGTTTCCGAGGCAGCAGTATTCTAGTCCCTTGGTTACCAAATACGCGTATAAACCAACAAGTAACAATCAAGCGATATAACTATGAAACTTAGGTCCTTTCAGAGTCAAAATATGCAGCGAATTCTTTCCTCCGAGTCTAGTGTCCAAAGTGCTAGTCCCAACATAATGGGCCTCTCCCCATCGTTATGCTCGGCTAAGGCCTTTTCATATCCTCATATACCAGGCGCCAAAGTGTTATCACTGCAAGCTTCACAAGTTTCAAATGTATCCAAGTACATCCCTGAGTGGTACTACTACAATCATGGCGGCGTGAAAGCTCAAAATCTCAACTTCTGCAATATCACAGTGACATACAAACACACCGCTAAAAATGACACTATCAACGTTGGCGTCCTTCTACCCAGTGATTCCTGGAACGAGCGACTACAAGGAATCGGAGGAAACGGCTACACGGCTGGGCTCACATCCATAACCGCATATGGAATGATCGCAGCAGCTGCCGAAGGATACGTCGCCATTTCAACCGATGGCGGGCACACAACCGACGACCCTGCGGACTGGGGCCTTCTGGAAAACGGAATGCCGGACTACGATACCATTTACGACTTTGCCATTGCTTCTCTCGGCGATGCCGCAATCATCGGAAAGAGCTTAGCAGAGAGCGCATATGGATCGAAACCCAAATACTCTTATTGGACTGGGTGCTCACAAGGCGGCCGACAAGGTCTGGCGCTTGCCCAGCAATATCCCGAAGCATATGATGGTATCGTTGCTTCTGCTCCGGCAATAAATTGGCCACAACTTTCGTTGGGAGGATACTGGGCTCAATTTGTTATGAACCAGCTTGATGAATATCCATTTTCTTGCGAGCTCAACGCTGTGACAAATGCTGCACTCTCCGCCTGCGACAGCGCTGACGGTGTCGTGGATGGTATAATCTCGGACCCGGATTCATGTGCCTTTGATCCGTTTGCTTTAGTGGGAACTCAAATTGGCTGCAGTGACACCGGATCGCAGTTGAGAATCTCGACTGCCACTGCGAAGATTGTTAATGCTACCTGGACAGGAGCGCGAGACTCACAGGGCAACTTCTTGTGGTATGGCTTCAATCCCGGGACTGCCCTGACAGGAGTAAATACACCGGCAAATACAAAATGTAACAACGAGACATGCACTATGGTATCCAACCAGCTGTATGATCGATGGGCTCAGGTGTTTATCGAGCACAATCTGAACTTCACCTTAACGAACATCACCCACCAAACATATGACCACCTTTTCCGAAAGTCTGTCCAGCAATGGAATTCGGTATTTGGAACGAATAACCCAGATTTGTCGAAATTCCGTGACGCTGGGGGTAAGATGCTTACATATCATGGCCTGGTATGTTTCATAGTTTGTTCAAGAAATATTCTCATACTGATTTCTGATGCAGATGGACGAGGTAATCCCTTCCAATGGAACGAGGTCATACTACGAGGCGGTGACTGCCGGCGACTCGAATGTTCATGAGTACTATAAGTTGTTCGAAGCACCAATGATGGGGCACTGCTATGGCACTAAAGGAGGATATCCTTCTACCATGTTCGATAGCCTTGTTGCTTGGGTCGAGTCTGGCAATGCTCCTACGAGTCTTCCAGTGAAATACTCCCCAAAAGATGGGAAGACATATGACAGAATTCTGTGCCCATACCCCCAACGAGCGAAGTACAAAGGTACTGGGGATGTAACATCTGCCGATGCATTCTATTGCGCAGAATGAGTTGGTACTTTTCAATGTGTTGTTTGGAACATAACTATGTATTGATATTCACGTTGCTTATTTAACCCAATTAAATTATCGCTTTGAGCTAGCGCTGTAACAATTCACGAGGACGAATTATACGTTTAATTTGGACAATAAGATAAAAGGGGTTTCCTGTCTAGGTGATGTTCATCAAAACAGCCTTGATGTTAGAATATGCTTCCAATCCCGCTTGTCCAAGCTCCCTCCCAATTCCGCTCTGCTTTACACCCCCAAACGGCACCCGGAAGTCACTATTATTGGTAGCGTTGACAGACACCATACCAACCTTGAGTTTCGGCACAATGCGGTGGATCCTGGAATTATCGCGAGTATAGATAGCAGCAGCCAGGCCGTAATCCGTATCGTTGGCCATTTTGACAACCTCATTCTCATCATTGAATTTGATGAAGACACCGAATGGCCCGAAAATTTCTTCTCGGTACACGCGCATGTTGGAATTAACATTCCCCACAACAGTTGGCGAGATGAAGTACCCCTTATTATTCGGCCTGTTCTCTGCTACTGTACCGCCTGAGACAATAGTAGCGCCTTCTTCCTTTGCAGCCTGGACGTACGCGAGGATCTTGTCGAACTGCTGTTTCGAAACCTGAGCTCCCTGGGACGTCTTATTGTCGAACGGGTCACCGATGACGTTGGCACTAGTGGCATAAGCGACAAATGCATCCATGAACGAATCGTAGATATTCTCATGCACAAAAACCCGAGATGTGGCTGTGCATATCTGGCCCATGTTTCCCATCACGCCAAAGTGAGCCGCTTTGACGGCATTTTCCAGCGGGGCGTCGTCGAAGATAACTAGTGGGCTTTTGCCGCCAGTTTCCAGCGTGATGTTCTTCAAGGTTTTACTAGCTAGCTTCATAATCTGCTTGCCAGTAGCCGTGCTTCCGGTGAAGGCAACCTTATCGACTTCAGGGTGCTGGACGAGTGCAGCGCCGGCTTCGGATCCGTGACCATTGATAATGTTAACAACACCTGGCGGGAATCCGGCTTCTGCGACCAGGTTGGCGAAATACAAAATTGACAGCGGTGTTTGCTCCGAAGCTTTGATGACAATCGTGTTGCCGCAGGCAAGGGCTGGTCCAAGCTTCCATGAAGCCATTCCGATGGGATAGTTCCATCTACGTTGCATAGATTAATCAAATGGATGTCCATCGTAATGGGAGTGAGGGGACCACATACGGAATAATCTGGCCACAGACACCGATAGGCTCACGGACTGTGTATGTGAAGTTTGTGCGGGAGGTCTCGATGGTCTGACCATAGTGCTTGTCGGCCCAACCTGCATAGTAGCGCAAGACACTGCACACTTCGTCTATATCCCCCAGGGCTTTGTTGTAGGGTTTTCCATTATCCAAGGATTCGATGGTTGCAAGAACTGTCTGGTTACGCTGGACAATGTCGGCAAGTTTCATCACAAGCTGGCCGCGCCCAGTGCCGTCTATGCCATGCCAGGCCTCGCTCTCAAATGCTGCACGGGCTGCACGGACGGCTGAATCAACATCTTCTTCTGTCGCGGCATAGACTGAAACAATCTCAGACTCGGTTCTACCCTCAAAATATTCAGTAGTGATGTAGGCTCTGGCGTTTTTGGAAGCTTACGTCGGGTTGATAGAGACAATCTTCTGGCCATTGCTTGATGTCACCCATTTGTTGTTGATGAACAACCCGAGGGGCTGCTCATAGGCGACGCCATTCGGAGCGGTGATCTTCTGGAAAAGATTTGACATTTTGATAAGAGCAGTGTAGGGACCTTCAATGACTGCAGTTTCTCTCGCAGATAAGAAAATATTTCACGAATGGATGATGGTCATAAGAGTCTACACTTTTTAAAAACCAATAATCCTTTGGTACATACTAGTACACCATATGCACGGAGTAAAGCACTCGTAAATACGCCTTGAGTGACGTGGCTTCCTCATGAAATGGATCCATCAAACCAACTTCAGCGCATGCAGCTCCAAGTAACTGAAGATCAAAAACTCTCCGATTCTTTCCTTGGCATTTATATACGTGTTCGTATTATTAGGTACAGTCAGGAAAGGACTACGTCAAGGTGCATGGTGCATGGTGCATGATGAATGTGAGATATCGATTGAACAATTGAAAAGCCAAGTTCTGAGACTGAGAAATTGAGATGTACACCCCACTTAAACTATGTATTTCCGAGACACAGGAAGGTCCAGAAAGTCCCATCGAACAAGACGAATCCTCACAGCTAATCATGGAAATGCTTCACCGAAAACCCAGCCATCTGTGTCCCCGCATTGGGATCTGTGGGCGATCGTGACCAGTTCTTCTTAATCCGCGCTCGAGTCCACTCCGGAGCAGGGATGTCAATTTCATTATTCTTGCCCTCCTCATAGTACCCCAAGCGACGTAGGAGGGGACTATCAAAGCTTTTCAGAGTTAGTCGATCGCTAGGCCGTATAAAGTATAGAAGTCCTAAGCGGTCCTGCGCTTGTTGGTCTTTGGGAGGGACCGTGACGCGATGCACGCCACTTTTCAAGTACCCGTTGGAGAGGATGGACAGCATGTCAGCGATGTTGACAGACAAGGTGCCTTCGGGAATCCGAATCCACTCCCAAGGGGAATCCTCGTACTTCTTGACCTGGAGGGCTGCAACAGGCTGCTGAAAAAGGAACGTAATTGTGCCATTGTCAGTGTGACCGCGGGAATAGAGGTCCTTGAACTGCTCGTTCACCTCTGCCGAACGGGCACGGTACATCATGTAGCGGAGGCCGCTATCACAATTCGACTCGTAAAGATGACCGTTTGAGATCTGGTCTTCAGGGAGCTCCAGGATTATGGCGAGAAGCTGCAGCAACTTGTACCCGACATGCTCGTGGACGTGGCGATGGAAGCGTTCAATCTCGTCCCAGTGCTGATGGAATACTTCTGGGTGCTCGCGCTCATACTGCGGCAAGAATTTCATGATGTTGTAGAATTCAATATTGTCCCATAGCCCCGGGAGAACCTGGATAGATCCCAGTGGCCGGTAGCCATTGTAGATTCCCTCTTCGAGAGGTGCTCGGTAGGACTTACGCACGTCCTCCGGGAGGGCGAAGAATTCGCGTCCGATGGCGTATTGACGATTGATTTCGTCTTGACTTAAGCCGAAGTTGGTGACATAGAAGAAACCTTTTCGTGTCAGTATCAATAGAACTTTGCTGGTTGGAAAGGGCCTCCCTACCCGTGTTGTGCGCCGCATCTTTCAACTGAGCTGCTAATTTTTCTTTACCTCCGGGTTTATCGAATTCGCCCAGATCGATGATGGTCAAGTCTGCATAGTTCACTATTTCACCATCATATATGAGCCCAAAAAAAAGGAAATATGCATTTAGATCAGTACTTACAGGGCTCTTCGGTCTCTGGTGGATGGGCATATGGCTGGAGGGAATCGAGTTGAGTCTGGGTCGTTTGCGTAGCCATATTCTTGGAATTGGATGGTTCTGACTGGAAGGGCTGATAGGAAGTAGAACAGCTATACTCCGTACGATAGTAAACTATATCTACAATATAGTAACTAGATATAACATATGGAACGAAGGAAATACCGATTAGTGCTGCAACACCGAGGCGAGGTGCATACATCATGCAACGCACAATCAAAATAAATGTGATCAATGCCTCTTCAATCTCAAACAATTGACGTAAATTGAGGGAATCTTCCAATCGTCCCTCACAGCTCATCCATCTATTGACGGTTACTTAAGTGGTCAGTTATGTTTGTTCTCTTCTCTACAGCCACAAAAATCACTAATGTTCTGTTTATATTGACATCACGGAAGCAGACACCCCACAGTGCAGAATTCGTATTTAGCTGACCTAAAATCTATGTTGTATATCCCACCAGGATAATAACGCAATTGCGGGCCCGTAGGAGTTGCTGTGGGGTAGGGCTTACGATCTCTGATTCAGCTAGCCACGAGGAGTATGCATGCTCGGGTAGGGCTTACGATGTATAATTCAGCCAGCCACGAGGGAAAGTATGTGATCATTGCCAAAAGCCAGATACCTTATGCAGGAAAAAAAGATCGGCAAAGTACATGTGGCCTGAAGTGCAGATAATGTGATACATATAGCTATCTACGTGGCAAGGAAGCAAGAAGGAGGAGGGGATCAAAATAGAACAGATAACAATGATGATCTAGTTACTGCCATGAAGCTCTATAGTGACAAAAAGGCAAATATAGGTCCATCAAACTGCTACAAAGTAGCCAAATGGTAATACCAATACCAATAATTAGTACTCCGTATGTAGTTTAAACATAGCTTCTTCTGTAATTAATTCGTATTTGAAATCATACCATATTTATTACCAGTGGTGTCGTGGGCCAATCAAGCTACTGTGCCTTAAGATGTTGATCTTCATTGGGGAAGTTTACCCACATACTTCACATGCTTCACATGCTTCATGGACCAAATATCTGTGATAAATCGGAAATCGAATAAGTCTGGCTCGAGTCCATCCAACCGACGTTCAGTTCGTTTCTGGACTCTCAGAAAACATTCACGACCTTCAAGGTGTGAGGTTGGGCCTCGACTATGATCCCCCAGTGAACAACATAGCCACGGTAACCCCGAGGTTTGAAATTGTGGTCCAGGTATGTTGTAGGCGAAGTCATTTCAATACTGATTCGTCTCCTGAATGGCTCTGTGGCAATCGGCGCGCATATGTTATTTTGGAGCTAGTACGGAGTACAACAGTCCATAAACCTCAGTGAGAAGATGGATGCACGAAACCCGTCACCACGTCATACGCTAATTAATGTACGAAGTACATGCGGAATGAATCGACCTGTCATCAATGTTGGCGCTATTGTTATTACCCCAAAGTTTTATTATCGAGGACCGAGCGATACGCGGGGTTAGGCCTTTGGCAACCCATTACAAAACATAAGAAGACACAATAATGTAGATTCCTCGAAGTATCCGACTCAAATCATCTTCACCCTCCTCCTCTCGTCCACTCGTTTACTATAACACCCAGCTGTTCAGAGTCCATCATGACTATCATTACCGCAGCCAAGTCGCGTGAACCTTCATTCACAAAAGAAACCCTGGGGACTTTCAGCGGCGATGTGTATTTCAGTCATCTGCACAAAGACGAGCATGTATCAATACTCGATGTCAAATTTTCCCCATGTGCTCGGACACATTGGCATAGTCACGAGAAAGGCCAGCTCCTTGAAATAACCACTGGATCTGGGTGGGTATGTGATAAAGGACAGGAGCCCCGCAGAGTCCAGGCTGGCGATACTGTTTGGTGCCCCCCTGGTACGGTCCACTGGCATGGTGCGGATGAAAGCAATTCGATGATCCATCGTGCAATCTCATTTGGGGGCATGGAATGGCAAGATCCAGTTTCAGAAAACGACTTGAAGGGTACCCATTAAGTAGGCATAATTGTCCCATCTCCCCACTATTTCAGATGCTGATCTGCCCAGCTCTAGCAATCTTAGTCCGCCGAAGGATATGTTCGAAGTCAATTATATCTATATGCCGCTTCAAACGATGGGCGATCTGTATGTAAATTGCGAGAAAAGCCAATAGGCGTGGGTCAAATTTGATGATCACAGCGCCGATGCATCAATATGAAGTACCGTTCATCCTTGAATATACAGAGTGTATATTTCAAGGTGTAGAAGAATGAAAAATAATTTCGGTATTAAATTATGATTATAGATTCTAGGTAAAAATCGAATTTCTTTAACTCATATATCAAAACTAGAGAAGGAAAACAACAAGCAGAGAAGCAATACGCAAAAAGATTCTATACCCATTCGATTTTAACGTATCAATTTTGATCTTGGGATTCATGATTTGGTTGCTTTTATCACGGTTAAAATACCGCCTATTGAATCGATTTCGATTAAATATCTTTAACCCCTTCTACGCTCTTGTAAAACACTCATGGTACTCTGCAGGATCTCCTCTATCCTACCAAATCGGGATCTAAGAGCCTCCGCCAATGCGGGGGCCTGTTCCGCCTCTGAGGCTTGACCTTCGACTGTGACAACCGCATGGAAGTCTCTCACCAAACTCTCTATCTGCTCAGTTACGCTTTCTTGTAGAGCATTGAAACAGCCAGTAACAACGTTTGTGTACTCGCTGCGGGCCAGGTTAGAAAATTCGGCAAACAGCCTCGAATGCGTCAGATGGTCATTCATGATTTTTTTCCGGCGGCTGTCACTGCCACCTCCTAGAAGATATGGTTAATATAACGAGGCACAAAAGCAATTTTATTAGGATGGTTTAACAAACCTTCCTCTCGGTTCATGGCAGCATAAGCAGGCTGCATCAGGCCTGATATAAACGAGCTGGCATGGCCATAAAGCATGTCTCGTTTTATGAGTCTAGGAAGCCAGTTAGAATCGAGTTTGAGATTATCAATATCCTGGACATCATACTCAAAGTTGTGAATCATCTTCTGGATAGAGTCCTGTATATCATCCTCAATGCATTCTTGCCTGGATTTCATGCCCTGTTGGAGGTTTTGGAGGGCGTGGGGTGCAAGCTCAATATGCGCTACAAAAAGCTGTCAGAAGGTCATCTTTCTACAGAAAGGTATGTAACAAATGAGCGTTTGTCCAACCTAAGGACGACTTACCCTCAATCTCTTCTCGCAATTCTTCAAAAGTAGTGCGAGTATCTCCCACCAATCTCCCCGTTTGGGCTTGCAGCCAATCCAGTATATCCTCCCATTCAGCATTTAGCGCTTCACGTGCTGGCTGGACTAATTCATTATTCCAGCAGCGATAGGACTGGGCTCCGGTCTTGTAGTCTCCAGATTTGCGACAGAATGCAGCATACGTGTTAGGCGCCCACTGTGGATATAATCAGAATTATATTGTGTAGCTAGGGGCTACTTAAGGGAAACTCACTCCTGCCCATTCTAGGCTGATTTCAATACTCTGAGTTGTCCAGCGAGCTCTTGAATTTCCTAGGGGGAGTTCATTAGGGCCAAGACCAATATAATTTGCTTAAAGTACTCACGAATAACCTCGGTAATGCGTTCAGTGAATACATCATCCAAGCTCTGGCGCGCAAGATGAATATATGATTGAGAAGAGATAAATTCCTATTGACTATCAGGAAACTTTGCGTCTTTCAAAAGGTTGGTTAGGGACCTGAGGTATCCTCTTTCGTCAAACATACCCGGCGAAGAGCCTCTCTTGTATTTTCCAAAACCCGTCGGAGGATAGCAGATTTTTCAGCCGTAACCGAATCTGTTCCAGATAATGCCCACTGACGTATAGATCGCAGCAAAGCTGGCACTTGGTGTTCCAGGAATGCCGATGCCAAACGCAACTGACTCTCTGCGGGGACCAATTGGCAGTAGCGGCGCAGCTCGCGAATCCCCGAAAGATCAACGTATGCCTCTGCCTGGCTGTTTCCATTACGGCGGTACTCGGAGTAGAAAGTATTACTGATGCAGAAGACCCTGATGTCTGTGTGCTTTCTGGTAAGTTCTTGCGCTACCAGATTGTTTCGTCGCGTGATGAGAAACTGTTTTATCCTGGATGAATCAGTATACAAACATATACCGTGATCTCACACGTTACTCACTGGAAAGTCAACTCGTTCTCCTTGTCGCTGCTATATATTCAGCGAATGGAATCATTGCACATTGTGAAATCAAGAACCTACCGTAGTTCATACCCTTTGACTGCCAGTTCTGCTTGTTTTGCCCCGCTCACTTTTCGTAAACGAACCTCCGTCAATTTAATTTGTTTCTGGATAGCCTGGATCTCTTTGTTCATTCGCCTTATTTGAAGAGCATCTGGAGTAGTTCCACGACCAGACTCTTCAGGCGATATGACCTAAGAAGACAGGTCAGTAAGCCCCTTTTCGCTTGAAAGTCGCTTTTAATACCTCCGACTTTGATAAAATCACTCGTCGTGGCTGGTCATCTCTACATCTTCGCATGACATCCTGTATCGACGGATTTGTACAAGCGCGAGAAATGTCCGCCACGACAAAGACTTCGTCACAGCTATGAGCAAGGTACCGTTCTGTGGCTCGAACCCTCGCAAAGTTAAGATCGCTGAAGCCTAACATTGGTGAGTTTAAATTTGACCCCAGGGTTGGAATGGAATCCTTAGCGCATACCAGGTAGATCGGCCAATATTAGACCGGTATTCAAAATGGGTGACTTGAGATATACCCTGAAAAAGCATTAAAGAGGAGCCCTTCTTTGAAGAAATTCCCACAAACCTGATCAATTTGATGAATGGCCACAGTGCAGGTCTACCATCATTCATATTATTGGCAGTCAGCAGGTCGAGAGACTCTTTGCATTCCGTGAGATCACCAGCAATCACAGAGTGCTCAAGCGCATCGGGCCCACCAGGTCGCAGTGTCAAACCAGCATAAGCCCATCGCTCTAACTGCTCAAGAAGCTCCGGGTAAGCCCCATCAAAGTCAGC